TATATCAAGTTAAAGAGTATACCCCTAAATTTTACTCATGGGTGTTAGGAAATCTAGTCATTATTCCCTGTGATTGCCCTTTTAAATATTTAATAATAGCTATCATGTGTTGCCCAGATCTTTTCTTCTCTAGATTAAATATCTTCAGTTATTTCAACCATTCTTTTACACGTCATGATTTTTGATCCTACTGTCACATTGTTGACTTATTAAATGTGTTTAATTATTTAAATTCTATGTATAGGAGGTGTTTAGAACCCAAGTACAGTAATGTTTTATCTCATTGTGTTCAAGTCCTCTTACAGGATACTGCAGACACGCAATGACGATACTGCCTCCTAAGCAAGGACAGACTCCAGCAATGAGAAATAGGCAAACTATAGCCTTGGAATGTTTAGGAGTACAGAATGTTTAGGAATGTTCAGAAGATTTGGAGGGAAATAGATGACCTCAGGAAATACAGAAAAATAGGTAGCCGGCTCCTATTGGAGAGAGTGGAGATTACCTGGAACAGAACCCTCTGGCACTTTTGGCTGTCCAAATACCTAGGAATAGGCCAGGCACAGTCATGCCTGTAATCCCAGCACTCTGGGAGGCTGAGGTGGGTGGGTTGCTTGAGCTTAGAATTCGAGATTATTTTGAGCAAGAGTGAGACCCCATTTCTAAAAATAGCCAGGTGTTGTGGCGGGCACCTATAGTCTCAGCTACGTAGGAGGCTGAGGCAAGAGGATTGCTTGAGCCCAAGAGTTTGAGGTTGCTGTGAACTATGACTCCATGGCACTCTACTGAGGATGACAATGTGAAACACTCTCCAAAAAAATAAAGGCGGGGGAGGGAGGGAGGAATCAAATGACTCATGTTTGTAAATCCAGTGTTCTGGGAGGTGGAGGCAGGGAGATCCCTTGAGCTCAGGAGTTTGAAACCAGCCTGAGCAAAAGCAAGGCCCCCATCTCTACTCAAAGGAAAATTAGCCTGGCTGTCGTGAGCAGCTGCAATCGCAGTTACTCACGAGGCTGATGGAGGAGGATCACTTGAACTCCAAGAAGGTCACAGAAATTGCTGTGAGCTAGGTCAATGCCACAGCACTCTATCCTGGGGCAACAGAATGACTTTTGGGGGGAAAAAAAGGAGCAGGAAGTTAAGTCCCTACCCTAAGCAAACAAGGAAACAGCTGGAGGAAATCCAGATGCATTAGCAGCAGAAGGACCACAACCCATGTCTGTGCATGGGAGGTGATTGTTACCCTGTGATCCAGCTCACATTGAGGCAGCTTTGTTTTTTGAGCTGACCAATAATGGAAGTGCTTTCTGTTGTAGAGCTTTGTCTCATTCAACACAGCCATCTCTTTTCCTTCGTTCCGTGGTAGAAAAGATGAGACCTGGGGACCCACATTATTGAGGCTGCCCGTTTGTGTTGGCAGCTCTGCTCCATCAGGGCTAAGTCTCAGCCCCATTCTTTTTTTTTTTTTTTTTTGAGACAGAGCCTCAAGCTGTCCCCCTGGGTACAGTGCCATGGCATCACGCTCACAGCAACCTCCAACTCCTGGGCTCAAGCGAGTCTCCTGCCTCAGCCTCCCAAGTAGCTGGGA